TGTATCTTTGTCCAATCTTCCTTATATGCATTATCAGCACCAAGTTCAATGAGCACATCATGAATTAAGGAATATATAGTGATGATGCTACATATAGTTTTGTAATGAGAGCCCCACCGAGTGTCACCAGGCTTAGGCAAACCCATCTCTTGATTTAATCCACTCCCTGATTCAAGCTCACCACACTCTAGTGCTTTCTTGATATTCTCAAGCCTAGCATTTCGAAGCATATCATGACGCTTGCAAGAAACCCCAACAATGTTCAACAAGATAGATACTTGATCAAAAAAAGTCTTGCAGTCAGTATTTCCTTTGGCAATAGCAACAAGAACTAGTTGGAGTTGATGTGCAAAGCAATGAATATAATAAGCGGAAGGTGATTCTTGCATGATTAAAGTTTTGAGCCCTTTAATATCTCCTTTCATATTGCTAGCCCCATCATAACATTGACCTCTAATCTGTTGCATACTCAATCCATTACTAACAAGTAAAACTTCAATTGCTTTCTTAAGTGACAAAGAGGTAGTATCATCTACATGAACAACTACAATAAAGTGCTCACATGGCCTTCCAAGTTTATCAACATAACGCAAGCAAAGAGCTAGTTGTTCTTTATGTGATATATCACTAGACTTATCAGCTAAAATTGCATAGGGCTCATCACCAAGTTCCTCAATTATTTTCTTTCTAGTTTCTATGGCACAACAGTGAATAATTTGCTTTTGTATCTTTGGGCTAGTCAAAGTGCAATTACCTGGTGCATTGTTCAAGACATACTTGTTCACTATTTCCTGCAAGAAACTTTAAAAGTTCAATGAAGTTGCCTCTGTTGCTAGACTCTTCACTTTCATCATGTCCACGGAATGCCAATCCTTGATGCAAAAGAAACTTGATACATCTAAGTGAATATGTCAATCTTTTCTTGTAAAGACGAAGCTCCTCCTCACTCCACTTGTCAATGTTATAATCAATTGCTACCTTGGGATTCATAAAACCAATGTACTTCTCTTGAGCTGCTTTATGTGCCCTAAAACCAGAATGTTTGAGAAGTGTTGTGTTTCCTATATTCCAATTATTCCATCCATCAACAATAAAAGTTTTTGACCCACTGCCCTTCTTGAACAAGTAGCATATGAAGCAAAATGCAGAATCCTTCTTGACACTATATTCAAGCCACTTATAATTATACAACCATTGTATACTGAATCGACGAGGTACGCCTCCAATGTTTTGGTATGGAAAATCATGTATATAAGGTTTGCAAGCACCTTTAGTAATATATGCTCTACGAATTGCATCTTAATCATTAACAGGATAATCTTCAATGGGCAGCCTTTCACCTGGATCATATGGTAGGCGATTGATGTCATACGCCAGCGGCTTTGATGCGGGCGGTGGCGGTGATGCTAGCGGGGGCGAGGGCAAATGATCTGTAATTTCTTCAACTTGTACTCTATCTTCTTCTTGATTCTGTTCTTCCACAATATTTTCATCCAAAGGTGGGTCAATAGCAGCCGCCTTCTTTGCTACTTTCTGAAAAAGGGATCGAATGTCTCCATTTCTTTTCATAATTCAAGACTCAAGAGTTCTGGAAAAAATACTTGCCAATTAGCAAAACTAACGATCGGAAGAAAAAACCTGGAACTGAGGAAGCATGGGGATCAGGGGATGGACGGGGAGTATCACCTGAGGAACTGAGGAAGGACTGGCGATCAGTCTTGCAGGCGATGGCCAGCCCAGGCAAAGCGACGGGCGATGATTTGCTGGTAGGGCGGCGACGGGCGCGCTGGGCACGGCACCGAGCGGTCGAGCTGGGAGCCGGCGCTGGCGCACGCGAAGAGCAGGTAGTCCTGGACTCTGGGTACGACGTGTCGTAGTCTCGTAGACGAGGCCCAGGTCCAGCGTGTGCTTGCCTGCTTGGGCCGGATGTGGGATGTGGCCCGAGCCATAGTCATGGGCCCTGCGACCGAGTCACCGAGCCATAGTCATGGACCCTGCTTGTGCACGCGAAGAGCTGTATCTCATAGAGCATGATGTATGGTTGACGGGTGGGCCATAGGGTGGTCGGTGGACCACCCTGACCACCCACTAGGTCCGCCAATGGCGTGAGGAGGAGCTTTCAAATGTGATTGATGCTCTTTGCACTCTGCCAGGTGTTGGTCCAAAGGTCGCTGCCTACATTGCTCTGTTCTCCCTTGATCAAAATCATGCTATTCCTGTCGACACACATGTTTGGAAGGTATGATATATCTGACGTTTGTGTTAGTGTTGTAACAATCGCTTCTACTTCTGTTGTTCCATTTGGACATACCATTGGTGGTTCATTGTTAGCTTTATTGAGGGTAGAGCTTGTTTGAGTTATGTCCATCACCATCATTCTCTGTTAGACCATAGTAAGGGCCTGTTTGGATCCATTAGTACTAAAAATTTGCTAGCTAATAGTCAATAGCTGCTATTTATTAGCTAGCAAATTTTTAGTTGGGGAGTGTTTGGATCCACCTGCTAATAGCAGGAGGGGGCTCCTAGGGGATGACGATGGCTAGGGTTAGGGGAGGTGAGGGCATCGGTGAGAGGGAGGGGGTAGTGGCGATAGGGTAGAGGGAAAGGAGAGGGCAGCGCAGAGAGAGGGGGGGGGAAGGATAAGCCTTGAGGCTATTCTTTCTTGATTCCAATGATTACATAGCCCCTCTACTTATAGTCCTAGGTAGACTTGTCACTTAAGTAACCTAATGAGGGAAGTCCTTATAGATATTGACTCCTCCCAATCTATCTAATCTCAACAAATCATATTCATATTCTCTTTCCTCTATTGGAGATCCTTTCGATATGGATAGTGGAGCAGCGGGAGACCACCCTTGCCAGGCGCGCCTCCCCCCTTTGCCACGCACGCCCCTCTCCTCAGGTGGCGCGGCTAGCCTAGGCCCCTCCTGGGCCCTCCATCCGACGTATGACATCACTCTCCCCTTCTCCGATCAGCGTGTCCTCGCGCTGAATCATTGTCCAATCCTTGACAGCCTCTGGCGATGGTCCGGTGCCCTTGGGTAGTGCTACAATCTGAACAGTGAGGTGGCCCAAAGTGTCATTGAATTGGTTGGTGTTGATGTGGTAGTCGGAGAACTAGAAGTAGTAGTTGCAGGAGCCAAAGTAGCCAGAGATGTAGTAGCTGTTGGTCCCCAGGCCATCAATTGGTTCATGAATGCAGCGGGCTACGTAGATGGCAGTGCCGGGGAGCGTTCCCAGGAAGTGTAATGTCTTCATCACCTATGGAGGACGTGGCAGCGTCTACACCTGGCCAGCATCAACTTGTCCCCTTATGCGCCGGCACAATGCTGTAGCGACAATTGTCGGAGGTGTTGTGGTGAAGTGTTGTAGCATGCCAAAGAGGAGATCGTCGGTGTTGTAGTTTGCTGGAGAGACCTGTAGATGACCATTGGCATGCTACCTGCCGATGTAGGTGTCCTCGATGGAGAGGAACTGCTGGCCGTTGTTGTCAAAGAAGATGATCGTTGCAGAAGGAAGGATGCATTGTGGCTATGCCTCGAGGAGTAGGATGCTCGAGGGGAATGCTTGCGTTGTCGGTGTAGATGTCACTGTGTGGAGGCCGATGGCTAGAAGATGTGGAGATGAATTGCCAAATGACTCGAGCAGGTCCTGTAACAGAGGTGAAATTATCAGAATATAGTATTGTTTGTTGTAGCGGACGATGCCTTGTTGTAGGGACCAAGCTAGTGCTGCTGCCTAGACTTCAATGGTGGCAGAGATAATCTAGAGTTCGTGCTCTTCTGTGGCGGCAACACGGAGTTGGGCAAGGATCTCCTGGTCAGGCTCGATGCGGGCGGCTGCTGTGGCATTGGTGCTGGCTTGTTGAGGGCAAACCGGGGCGTCAGGTGGTGTAGGGGCCATCGCGGGAGGCAGGGGTGGCAGTCCCTCGACTGAACTGGTGTTGGAGCTGCTTGTATCTCGTCGTGGTGTGATGTCAGAGCCATTGTCAACAGCGTAGGTGGATCGACCTGTGTTGGTGGAGGCAGGCACCAGGGTCTCCATGGTACGAGCGAGGTCAATGGCTGTCTCCATCGTGCGCGGATGGTGAGGGATAACCGCCACTCAGAGTGCATCCTGAAGGCCATTGGCGAAGAGGCTAACTTGGTGTTGCTCGCTGGTGATGCTGGTGTATAGAGCGTAGGCAATGAAGTTGTTGATGTAGTCGTTCACAGAGCCGGTATGACGCGGTGGTGCGAGATCGCTGGTGATGTTGTGGTCGGGGCCAAAGTTGCGGATGATGCTCTTGGTGAAGTACGCCCACTTGGTCATGGGTGTATCCTTCGTCGCGCCATGTACCACCAGTGTGCTTCACCTGTCAGATGATAGGCCGGTAGCAAGTTTGTTGTGTCTCCAACAGACGGTATAAGTTGGAGATTTGTTGTATGCGCGAGAGCCATGGCCTCGGATCCGTCGAGCCATCGTATGTTGGAGTTGTGAGTTGTGTCTTGACAGGGACATGTCGTGGTGGTGGTTCCATCGTTGTTGGTGTTGTCTAAGGTAGTGGTGTTCGGGGGGCAACATCCCTCCGTGCCGGCTGTCAAGTGGCCGGCCACTGCTATGATGGAGCCTTGAAGTGCTATGCGGCCACCGAACTAGCCGGGAGTCGGCTGGCTGCTTGCATAGGCGGTGGTTGATGCTTGAACTGCTGGTGGTGTTGCCAGCTCCAAACGGTTGTCGTCCAGGGCTTGGTGGGCAGCCGCACGGATGGCTAGGGGTTCCCCCCGTGGGGGAAACAGCGGCGCCATTGGTGGCCGTGGTGATGGAGGTGGAGCCAAAAGTAGGTTGTCTGATACAGCCAGGATGATCTCCGGAGTGTTGGAGGACTGGGGTGCGTCCATCTTGCGTTGGAGATACGACTTGCCGGCGGTGATCATGACGCGGTTGGTTTCTGAGGCGAGGTCGTCGATGGTGGCTTCCCGATCCAATCTGGCCTAGACGCCGGTGATGGCGGCGTCGCCATGGGTGTGTGCACGTTCTATAGCGTGCAGACGATTGTCGAGGTTGACAAGCTCACAGTGCATTTCCCCGAAGTTCTTGCGAAGATCGGTGGCGAGGTTCTCGATCAGCTATTGTAGGGTGGGGGTGGTGGAATCCATGGATCGTCTGGTCTTCGGATACCATTGTAAGAGCCTGGCAGGAGGGGGCCCTAGGGGATGGTGCTTGCACAGGCGGCGCTAGGGTAGAGGGAAAGGAGAGGGCGGCGCAGAGAGAGAGAGGGAGGGAGAAGGATAAGCCTTGAGGCTGTTCTTTCTTAATTCCAATGATTACATAGTCCCTCTACTTATAGTTCTAGGTAGACTTGTCTCCTAAGTAACATATTTAGAAAAAGTCCTTATAGATATGGACTCCTTCCAATCTATCTAATCTCAATCGATCCTATTTCTATTCTCTTTCCTCTATTGGAGATCCTCCCGATATGGATAGTGGAGCAGCGGGAGACCGCCCTTGCTAGGCGCGCCTCCCCCTTTGCCGCGCGCGCCCCTCTCCTCAGGTGGCGCGGCTGGCCTGGGCCCCTCCTAGGCCCTCCATCCGACGTATGACAAATAGTGAGTTGAAGATACATATAAACTATTAGCAACTACAAACCTGCTAATGAAACTAATAGTTAGCAACTCTCCAGCTAATAATTAGCAGGTCTATTTGGATCCATTAGTACTAATTTTAGCTGCTAATTTTTAGTGCTAATGGATCCAAATAGGCCCTAAGGCTTTACATAGATGAATTATTGACCATTTGTACAGGCTAACCTTTGTTGCTCTTCGTTTGGTCGTATGTAAACTGCACATGACACCTGATTCAAGTTATGACTCAACCATTTTATTTGACCATAAAAACATTGCTCTTCATTGCTAGGTTCGTTCCCTCTTAAAAAAGCAAACTATGCTTGTTTTTTTTGGGAAAAATATTATTTGAAATGCTAGTAAACCAATCACCATGTGTAGATACATATTCCTTCTGCATTCATAATGACTGTACCTGTTAAACACTGAAATGGTCAGTTGGGGTGTTTTTTTTTCTTATTATTTTTTAATCAAACTTGAGGATGCAGCCTGAAGAAGGTTTGGTGTCTATACTTAATATGACCCAAAGTCTATTTTATGTGAGTGTTAAACTCTATATGGATTTTAATGCAGGTTGCTACACAGTATCTATTACCAGAGCTAGCTGGCAAGAGCTTGACCCCAAAACTTAGTGTTATTGTTGCGGATGCCTTTGTTACTAGATTTGGAAGCTATGCTGGTTGGGCACAAAATGTTCTCTTCATTGGCCAGCTACCAGCTCAAAAACTTGTGGTGGCTCAAGTTACCAGTGACAATGGTACCACAAAACCTACCAAAAGGAAGCGTGGGGTGCAACCGAAACCATGTTGAGAACATGTGACCATGAGGGAGCATGGATACCAGCGATAGTAGGTTTGATCTTCTGCTGAACAGGGAGGTATTCGGTGGCTGCTGAATTGGCATATGGTTTTCTTGAAGTCCGAATAAAGTGAAGTGCAAAGGAATTAAAATCTGGACAGGCAATACGACAGTCAGAACTTGATGGCAACTTTCTGTCCTCTGGCAGTAGGAATCCGTGAGAAGGTATCTAGAATCCTGATCACACTAACGTATTTGCTGTCAGCTTCTAACATATAGGAATGCCTGACTCATTTACATTCTGAATTTTATTTTCATATGTGGGCATTGTGTTGCAATTTTAGCCTGCCCGTGCATCTTCCACAAAAACATCAAGATGGAAGGGGTTCATGTAATGTAACCGTGTTGTGTTGTGATTTTAAACAGCGATGAGAAATTCAATTGAAATATTGGATCAATAGTTCTCTGTAATTTTTGCACCCACCTATACCATCCCATGGTAATACTGGCTTGGATCGGGCCAGCCTGCCAGAGTGCCAGGCCGGCATCTTCTGATGAACGTTTGAGCAAAGTTGTGTTGTGAATGTCCTGGGTTCCTGGTGACTGAGTCACGGTCGGTCACACAAATTCTGTGATTTTACGCAAATATTTGCCTTTGGATTTGATCTGGCTAGTACTCTTTTCTCCTTCGAAAACGGTTGCACACCAATTTGGCAATTCCGATCCCGATTGCTTGCATTGCCAGCAAAGTCAAAACGGCGCTGCAACTGCAACCAGGCTCTTGCTTGCGCCAACGAGTTCTGCGGGCGGGCCCCGCATGCCATAGGCTCAATAGCCTCGCGCGCGGATCCCCTCCTTGCAAGGCCGGAACTGAGCTGCCGCCGGCGCCATGGCGAGCGGCGGCCTGGCGGCTGCGTCGGAGTTCGCCGTCGTCTTCCTCATCCGGCCCGTCCTCGCCATCGCCTTCGTCTTCACCCTCATCCTCCTTAGTATGCCTCCCCTCCTTTTTTTCTCCTCGCTTACCTAGTTGCGTGGGTTCCCTGATCCGCTTCGTCTCCCCAGGCTGGTACGTGGCGTGGAGAACGGTGCTGGTGCACGTGCCGTTGGTGCAGGAGATCGCCGGTCTGCGCCCGAAGAAGCCCGTTAAACCCAAGCCAGCCAACCGCGGCCGCTTCGCCAAGTTCTACCAGAACCAGGCGGAGGCCGCACAAAGGTCAAAGCTTTACCTCCGCACGACCACACAAGCCTCCTGCTTTTGCTCATCATGATGTTTAGGTGCTGATTCATGTGGAAACTAACTGGCCAACTTTTGTTCAATTGGATCCAGATTCGGTGCTCCAGTGCTATTGAGTCCTGGACTCCTGGCATTGGTGAAGCAGTTTTGTGTAGTAGTTTGTAGATTAGGATTGTATCCACATACCGCATGTCCACCCACTATCTGATCTGGTTGGGCATATGGTGATGCTGCAGCTCTTCATGTGGGCGTGGTTGCAATTGTAGTTAAATTGAAGCGGGGAAAATTGCTTTAGCTGTCTATTTCAGTATTTCAAACCTGATTCAACTTCATTTGCAGTTTGGTACAATGCCTGAAGGACCTGACGGCATAATTACCTGCATTTTTGTGTTCTTCGTGTTTACCCTCTGGATGCCCATCTCAAATTCCTAAATTTCTTGGCATGCCTACTATTGGTGCTAAAGTAAAACTGTTTGTTGCATTCAAAGAAAACCTAGACATTTCAAACTTCAGTCCATACAAATCAATATATTGGCACTTGAGAGCTACTCCATTTTTTGACTGGAGCTATAACTATGTCCATGTTTGTTCCTTACGAAAACACAAGTTTTTTTTACACCTTGTATTGTGAATACCTGCAGTCCTATTCTCTCAGAAACTGTATTTTGCTATTGAATTACTTAGGCATAGTTGGGAACACTGGATACTTGGATAGGGATGGAAGAAAAATAAAGCCAATATCATTAGCAGGATCAATGTGGTTTATCTAGTAAAAAATGAGTTGTTATTGAAATATCTTATGTAGCCTTTCTCATTTAAACCACTAGTAATTGCACTTCATATATTGTACATCATGAGCATGTATTCTGGAAACATGGCTATCTGTAAACTCTTATAATTTGATTTATCTTGCTGTCTCCTTACACCTTGAAGTTTTCATATTTTATCTTGACCTGCAATGCCAATATTAGCATTTTTTTTTTACTACAAGAAAGTAGGTGCCACCCTTTGGTTCATCATACAATTTCACTTGCTCCTTAATGTCATTCCTTCCTTTCGGTGATCGGCAAGTACATAGAACCTAAGGACGAAAGAACATTGTTAGATGGTACCGAATACGTTGCCTGTAGGTTACGATATCTGTTTTAGAAGCCTGCTGCAGCAGTGGTTGGGAGCGACTCCAACTTGGTCAGGAATGGTTTGATGCTTTCTAGAAGACTAGAACCTTTTGATTACTCAGTGATGCGCTTGTTTTTTATTCCAACCTATAACTTTACAATATACTGTGCTTACTAGCAAATTGTATCATGAGTTCTGTCAAGATAGCTAACAGTAACAGTAATGTATTTTGGGTGCTCAAAAACCTTTGCTATTTAGACTTGAGTGTTGCTTCCGTTTTCAGATATTACCCCAATGTTTCAATCAGTGTGCTTACCGCAAAAGTTGCTCTATGTTTGCAACTACAAATTGTTTTAGCTTCAGGCACATAGATTATGAAGAAGCAAAAAATGACTGTACTCCTTGTACGCATGTCCACAAATCACTAACCTGATTTTTGTTATCTGTTAACAGAAACAGCAAATCAGAAGGGACATCTTAAGAGAAATCCATCAGCACTTTGTAATGAGTACCTGCCGCAGACTATAAGTATGCAAATTCCCTAGTTCTAATTAGAATGCAAGTACTACCAATGATGGCGGTTTTTTAGGAGAGAATGTATATCAGCATGTGATGGGAGCATCCTGCTTGACGATACATCAGGCTTATGATACTAGCGTATCAACTGTATATTGCATGGCCTTGTAAAGTTAAGGACCTTAAAATTGTAGATTGTACATAAATACCTGTATACAAGAATAAAGAGAACCACTTATCCTTTTGAATAATATCAATGTACCTTCTCTTGTGCAAAGTTTTTCTTTGTCAAGTTCAGCTCTAATCATTGGCTCATGATGGCATTTCTAAAGATGAAAACTGCTTTATATGATGCCAAGCTGCTGGGATTGTGCACTCATTCTTTTCCGCTTTGCTGAACAATGATCATCCATTCAATTAGCCAATCATTTGGTGACTGATTCCCTATGGGAAGGATGAAGATCTGGACTCACCTGGCAAGATGGAAGCCATACATTTCTTGAGAACCAAGACCAAACCACCTGCTCAAAAGCCGTTTCCTTTGCAACAAAGCTCGTTTGCCCCTAATTGCAATTGATGCTTAATTTAAAACAACTGAACTTGTTCATCCTTAAACAGTACGAGCAGTCGTGATTACGCAACAGAATAGTTGACACAAACAAAGGCACATCTGATCTCCTTTTCCTTGTGTTCTCTCCTTTTAATCCAGACCTGAAAAGAGTGATGCAAAATCATCTATCCAGCTTAAGAAATGGAAGAGTGGAGTGGTGGCTGATTCCACCTCAGGGGAACTGTGGAAGGAGCCGGCACCGGCAGTGCTCCCCTCCAGCGGCACAAAGTGAGGCAGCCACTCTTACAGCAGGATCTCCCCCCTGATCACCTCCAATCTTACCGAAAAGTGCGATGATTACGGTCCAGTCGTCGTGGTTGAAAACCAGCTCGACGCCGTTTTCAGGGGCCCTGAGGAAATGCTGGGTGTGGGTGTGGATGCCATGATTAGGGGCTTTGTAGCATCATTGTACCTTCCCAAGCTAATCATCATCATTCATCAATGGTGACGGTGGTGGATTCGGCTGCTCTAGATTTCGGTAAGATTTCCTGGGCTGGCTCATGTCCAAAGCAAAAGCGAAGGAATGCTAAGGTAGTTGAGTTTTGAGTGACCTATATCATGCAAAAAGGGCACAGTTCAAGGTGCAGAGCCAATCTTTTGTTAGAATGTTCCATGTAGGCTATAAAGAAAAGATCACTTGTGAGAATGCACATGACACAGCACTAGCTTGTTTGCTAACAAATGCTCATGAATTCATAAATGTTCCTAAAAGGGCATCCTTGACCTATCTATGCTAGCAATTGCACACTCAAGACTGTAACCGTCATGCAAGTCTTCAACTTCAGGAACAAAATGCTAGTCAGACTGTGCAAATAGTCAGCACACAGAAATTCCATACTTTTGGGTGTGGGCCATTGGCCGGTCAATGGCCTTTGTATGTGTGTAGCGCACACAAATTCAAGCGGTACTTGTCAAAAAAAAAATCAAGTTGTATAAACATGGCACTGAAATTTGTGTGACTAACCTTTTAGATTACATGTGTGTGATGTGTGATACACATTGCTTTTGTTGATACTTTTGCCTGTCAAATTTTAGGTGGACAAATTGCTTTTACTTGGAATGTTCTGCAAACCTAATTTTCATGTCATTCCCTAACATAATTTCTTTTGCATATTGTTTTTTGGACTTTAATGATAATGAAAGGGTAAATGAGGATGTGGTTGTTTGTAGCCATCTTGTGCCCATTCGCATCTTCTTCTCTGCCTACTCATTGAGATAGGAAGAGTAACATCATACTATTAATAATCAGAGACCCTAATAGAGGCATCACGTTAATTCCCACCAGACACGCTAAGAAAATAGATAATTCCTAGAAATTCTCATAATAATCAGAAACAACTGGCCTTTAATTTGGTAGACTTGAACCATCATCGTCGATAAGAGTCATCGGATCTATTGTACATAATTTATAAAAGAATTACCCACTTCTGCTATTATGAAAATACATAAACTAACCCCCTAATTTTACATCTATCTATTTATACTATTACTATTTAGAGACCCCATCAGAGACATTGAGCATCTCCAAGAGTTCCTAACAATTTTTTCGCAAAACCATGGGGTTTTCTAACTCGCCAAAAATTATTGGGAGGAATAAATACCATCTCCAACAGCTTCTAATAACTTCTAAAATATAGAAGACAATTTTACTTTAGTATTCTATACTATTTCTAAATTATTCTAACCACTTTTATATATTCTTTCTCTCTTGTACATTTGCATCAGGAACCATTTTCTACTCTTTATTCTTTCCCACGCCCTTCCACTTTTAGATTGGCCGATGGATACACGCGTGGGAGACACGCACATATGTCCACACCATCGGTCTATTTTCCAAGCGTAGAAAGATTAGGAGGTGGGATTGGGAACGGTTGAAGATGGGTTTTTTTTCCATTCTTGCCAAAAATCCAAGATTTGGAGGCTTTATTGGGAAGTCTTGGAGATATTCGAAATGCGCTAGGAAAAAACACAAATCCTAGAAATTCTCACAATAATCAGAAACATCTGGCCTTTAATTTGGTAAACTTGAACCATCATCACCGACAATAGTCATTGGATCTAATGTACGTAATTTATAAAAGAATTACCCACTTCAGCCATTATGAAAATACATAATCTAACCCCCTCCCCCTAATTTCACATCTATCTATCTATACTATTACTAATTAGAGGCCCAATGGAGACACCACGTTGATTCCCACCAGATGCGCTAGGGAAAAAATAAATCCTAGAAATTCTCACAACAATCAGAAACATCTGACCTTTAATTTGGTAGACTCAAATCATCATCGCCGATAACATTTATTAGATCTATTGTAATTTATAAAAAATTACCCACTTCTGCCACTATGAAAAAATATAAAGCAACCTCCTAATTTTGCATCTATTACCCACCTCTGCCATTATGCAAGATAATTCAAAATAATCCCTAAATTTGTATATAAATTACCCACATCTGTCATTATGAAAGGAAATTCAAAATAACCCCCTAAGTTTGCTTATAAATTACACACTTTTGTCATTATAAAGCATAATTCAAATAACCCATTAACATTGCATCTAAATTGCCCATATTTTCCATTATGAAATATAATTTAAAATATCCCTTTAACTTTGTATCTAAATTTAAAACATCTACTAGTTCTATTGATCAAATTGTCCCTAATGATGAGCATATTTTGGAAAAAAAATAGCAGAACAAAATTCAAGGTTGGATGGGGGGCAAGTTGGTTGCAAAGTGTCTGATTCTATATAAACTAGGCCATCATGTTTTGTTAGAAATTTAGTAAAACCAAAATATTCAGATAAAAATAATAAGGCAGTGAAGAAGATGCCAAGCTTTGAAGAGATTTTATCTAAATACCAGTAGATGACCATTCAAAGCAAAACAATCAGCTAGGAAATCAAAGGAGCGATTCTTAGTCACTGAAAGCAAAGAAGCATCAAGTCATTGGTGATCACCCCGTTGGTCTTCATCAAGTATTCTGTCTGTGCATATATTCCATGGAATAAATATTCAGGTAATGCATTTGGTTCTATTCCATGGTTTTGGTGTAGTCCTTGGGTGGTTGTCTTATGATTATGCATATGCTAATTAGGTTTTACCAAGTAATCATAATGTTTATGAC